TAAAAAAGAAAAAAAACCCCCCCCCCCCCCCCCGCACACCTCACACCCAATCTGAAGATGGTCTTACGTGAGAATGTAAATGTGTCGTATGCATTGAGAGAACACGTCATTACGAGGTGAGTGACACCCGCGTCTTAGGTCATCCCATTGTGACTTAACATAAATGTGGTCACTTTGAGCCTCTTTATTTCCTGGCTGAGCTACGATGAGCTGACTTGAAGGTCAAAGAGACGGGTTCTTTTTTTTATCTCTCTCTTTTTTTTTTTTTAATCCTGAATCTTTCTTTTAGTCTTTTGTGTCTGCACAGTTTTTGTCAGGTTATTTCTTACGTAACATAATGCCTAAAAAAAAAAAGAAAAGAAAAGTCTTTTCTGCCTTGCGCAAACTAGGCCATGAAAACTGTTTGTCCTACACAACAAAAGTGGGCGCGACATTCATGTATAAATATGTGGTTTGGCGTCAGTATATCTTGGTAGGCAAGGACAGGAGGACAGTCTTTATATGTCACATCGATGAGAAGTCATTGCTCATTCAGATCTCTGAGGCGGACGCTTTGACTTCTACTAAAATGCAGTCGCTTTTACTTGAGGTAGGAAAGAATTCAAAATATTAGGGAAGTAGTTTTTAAAGTTCGTTTTCCGGGCGGATATAAGATACAGGTGTATTTACTAGGTGTTGCTAGTATGGATTGACTATTTTATTTGAAACTTATTCACGTTTTGTACATGTATTTCGTGAAATTATTGTATTGCATATTTACTGTGCTGCAATATTGACGCAGGCGCTTAGGAGGCAAAGTTGAAATTTGTAGAGAGTGAGGGGGGATAAAAATTCAGTAAAATATCGACCGGGGAGTTACGCCTTAACCCCCCCTTGTTATGTTTGAATAGAAGATATGGACAGGGGCGCCTAACATGCATTGGAATTTGGTAGTCTATTTAGACTGTTTTATTAAAACCCGTCTGCCTTATATGTGATTTCAAATGCATAGTTAGAAAGTGACATGTTAAACCTGTAGTGGTAGATAATGTCCATGTAAGTCCCCACAAGTACTGCAGTGAACAGGGCCAATGGGGAGTGGGCAGAGGATTTGCTTTGGAATTTCCCTTTCTGATGTTAAATAATATTTATATCTTTATATTTATATCATGGAAATTATTTAGTTCATATGTAAATACAGTTGCCAAATTAAAACAAAAGGTTCCTTGCGAAAATCGAAAGTGTTTTTCTCAGAAAGTGAACCAGTGGAATGGAGAGATAATGAAACTGTTTGGATTGTTTTCCTTGTCTTTTGTTTAAAATAAGTTGCTAGTTTAATAAATAAGAGTAAGACAAGTGTTATCAGGTCACACACAGTCATCTGATCCACCAGACCATATTTCTCTTTGTCTTACCATGTTTGTATTAGCATCTTCCTTCTCCAGAAAATTTATTACAAGCTCCAGTAGTTTTATCCTATTCATGGTATTTTTAAAACCATGCTGTATACTGTATCTGTGAGCCTAAGTGCCCCCCCCCCTGAACCCCCCCCCCCCCCCCGTATCATGTCTATATCCCCCTGTATCAGTGACAATGGTAAGTCAGTGTTGTCTGTCTCTCCCCCTCCTCCTCCCCTCCATGGCCTGTTAAGATTATTTATTTATAAACAAAATAAGGGTGTGTTTTACTAGAACTACTCAGTACAGGTATATGTAGCACTGGCAGTAAAAGGAATGTTTACATGAATATGGTAGTTTGATCAGAGAATTATCTCTAAGTCTTTAATTTTATAGTAATTATAAATCAACTAATAATTGTTTGTGTTTATCAGCCATTGGTGCTCTCCTTTAGAATTAACAAATCCTGTAGTGTGAAGCAAAAATAGCAAAAACAAAAGCGTCTTCACATATCAATTAAATACCACTCAGTTGACAGTCTACATATGGAGAAAATCATCATAGTATTTAGAGAGATGTAGTGTTCACTGTGTAGTAGTAGATTCAGTTGTTATCAGAGATTCACAGCCATGATCCAGTGAATGCTTGGCCAGTTAGCCTTGAGATCCTTAGCGTGTGTCAGCATACAGATATACATGACGGCACACAATGGCTGGGACTGTTCTTTATGTAATCACTTTGATTTGTGTTCAAGGATGCAGAGAGGAGTGAGTGAGCGGGAATACGTGTTGTTTTGTTTTGATATAGGGGTCATGCACTCCTCCCCTCCTACACTCTCTCTCTCTCTCCAAGCTAAGATCTGCAGGCCCGTAGCCAGGGGGGGTTCGGGGGGTTCGAAAGAACCGCTCCTTTTGTTGGGAAAAGGTCCACTTTGGGTAAAATTTGATCTAGGTACATGAAGTTTTTATGGAAAAAAGGTCCACTTTTTCAGAAAAAGAACCCCCCTTTTGAAATTGTTGGCTACGGGCCTGTATCTGTTCATTAGATCTTAGCTCCAAGTAAAGGAGTATGGGAGAAATTAGAGGTATGTAGTTACTGCAGATAATAAAGGCATGTTGCTGGCCTTCCATGCTGTTGTCTATTGCTCAAGGGTATAAATGCCACCAAGTCTTGCTACAGTGTAGTTAATTATGTGGGGTTTTCATGAGCTATCAACCTTTGCCATGAGATTTGTGAATTTAAGTCATATACCAGTCTTTTACTCATAGTTAGTTAATTAGTCAGTCAGTTAGTCAGCCAGTAAGTTAGTTAACAAGGAACTCCATTTTTATTCCCAAGTCTTTGTTTCTCTACCAGGAACCTATCCATAAAGTCAAGTTCAACAGAGCCAGGACTTTCTGTACCATTCCAAAGCTTATTATCTCTGCAGTGATCATACTCACAATATTATTGGCTGTAGCTGTATATTTCCTTGGTGAGTTCTGTAAAACTTCAATTTGAAAACATTGTCAATATGAATGTATTTCTTAATCATTTTATTATTCAGATTAACCAGTTTTGGTAACCTTTTTTTATAAATAACATTATTATTTTTATCAAAATCCTGTCATTTTGAACCTCAACGTTCATATGAGTATTTTTAAAACACTTTTTTCTTCATTCTTTTTGATATGATGAAATTAGTTAGTTTTTCTAAATCAGAGAGAAAGTTTGGAGAAATAGTTCTATCAAGTGGTAAAAGTGAGGTCTTGTTGTCCATGAGTCAGAAAAAATATCAAATTGAAAGGACTGAGACAGTATTTTTTAACATATATATATATATAGCTTTCACTTCTTTTCCAATCCAGTTATATCAATATTACACAATGAAGGCTCACAAATATCTTACTCTGGAGCTCCATCTAGCGTCATACAAGGCAGCTTCAAAATTATAGGGGGAGCTGTCTTCAGTGACGAGCTTAACGATCATCATTCATCTGCATTTATAGTTTTATCAAGGGAAATTCAAAAAGAGGCAAGTATAATGAAGCGGTTTTGATTCAAAGCAGATGTTAACCCGCCAAAAAACTGTTATTATTGTTGTTGTTATCGTTGTTGGTGTTATTATTGAATTTTAAAAGTATGTCTTAGTTAAACAGCTGTTTACCATGTTTTTATCTGTGAGCAAATCTATAGGTATCCCTGTTATTACAGCTGTGTGGGCAGACATTATGAAGAAAGAAGAAACTTTTTGTTTAAAGTAACAATTTTCATCTTTCAGCTCAACATAATATTTTCCAAACATGAACCACTGGGCCAAAGTTATAACTACTCAAGAATAACAGAATATAGGTAAGTTAATATGAATTATTGTACTTAAAGCATTTGAAACTTGATATAAAAGACTATTACCATGATACAAGGTAGCCAAAGTCACAAGATTTGTAAATTTAACATGTACATGAATTTGGTAGTATAGTGAAATTTAAAAAAAAAATGTACAAAAGTCCTTCTTTTATTATTATTTTTTAATTATTTTATTTTAATTTTATTTTGTTTTATTTATTTATTTATTTATTTATTTGTATTTTTGTATGTTTTATTTGGTGCCTTCAAAACTTCAACATCATTTCTCTGTCCAGGCAGGGCAGTATCGTGGTCCTGTGTACTCTTCACATGGTCAAGCAGTACCCGTCAGACCAGCTCCAGCAGTATGTGGACAGCGTCCTGGAGGACATCCCGCTGGACCATGATGGCAGCAAGAAACTGGGACGCTTTACACTGGACAGCAGTAGTATTAAGCTGAAAGGTGAGGATTCTCAAAGATTGTGGTAGATGTGACCAGGGATTGTGTCTGGTTGTGCTAGATGTTTTACTAGATTGTGTCTGGATGTGCTAGATGTTTTACTAGATTGTGTCTGGTTGTGCTACATGTTTTACATGATTGTGTCTGCATGTGCTAAATATTCTACAAGATTGTGCTTGGTGTGCAAAATTTTCTCCTCATTTGTGTCTGAATGTGCTGGATGTTCTAGATTGTGTCTGGATGTGCTAGATGTTTTACTAGATTGTGTCTGGATGTGCTAGATGTTTTACTAGATTGTGTCTGGATGTGCTAGATGTTCTAGATTGTGTCTGGATGTGCTAGATGTTTTACTAGATTGTGTCTGGATGTGCTATATGTTCTAGATTGTGTCTGAATGTGCTAGATGTTATAGATTGTGTCTGGATGTGTTGCGCCTAATAAGAGTTGGATTTGTATGTTCTGAGAAAAATTATGTTGAGTAATTGCACAAAATTGCGTTATTTTTTCCTTCTGATAAGTAAATAGTAATGGGTTCCCTAATAGAAAATACTGTTTTGTTTTATATGTAAAGTATTACTTCTGTCCTTTCAGTGAGGGTAATGGAGAAGAATGGCTATGATAACCAAAGTACAACAGCGTCAAGTATATGGTCAACATCAAGTACAGCTCAGTCCACGGCCACTGCCACACCTACAACTACTGCTTCAACAACTACTACACCCAGCACTACGATTGTCATGACCACGCCCACTACATGTGAGTACTCGTGATGAGTGAAACCATATGTTTATATTAGATAAAACATGGGAAATATGAAATAAATGTTGGGGCATGCTCATTTGTGTGCAGAGACAGAGGAGGAGTTACTTCTTTGAGGTTATTGTGAAGGCTGGCTTTTCCTTTGCCTCTCTCTCTTTCTCTCTCTCTCTCTCTCTCACACACACACACACACACACACACACACACACACACACACACACGGGTCCTTTAGTAGAATGTGGGGGAATTCAAATAACTTTCTTGTAGGCCTTTCAAAGCTAGCCCCCCCCCCCAGTCCAGTATTTTTCGTCTATGGCTCCGTACTTGTTCCTCTAAAGGGAGTTTTGGCAAAAACACAGTCCACAGCTTTTAAGTTTATAACTCTCTCAGCATTTATTCCACATTGATAATCACCTGTGAATGAATGGACAGCAAAATAATAAAATTTCTTGTGATATTATGTTAGCCATCCCCTCTCCTTATTGCAGTGCCCCCTATGTTTGATATCCGTCTGGTTAACGGCAGTGGACCACATGAAGGAAGAGTAGAGGTGTTCATCAACAACCAATGGGGAACTGTTTGCGATGATCTGTGGGACGATAACGATGCTGCTGTGGTCTGTAGACAGCTAGGATACAGGTTAGACAGCTGGGAATGTGTTGGTTGAGTTTTGAAGTGATAGTTGACAAAGTAATGTGTTAGTTGAGATGAAAAGCTGGGAAAAGACATTTAGATCCATTTTCACATGAAGTTTCCATCTATTTAAATAAATTTATAACAGCATAGTTTTAGAAAGGTGATTAAGTGAAGTGCTGGCACAAAACAAAAATGGTCACTTTCAAAAAAGAAAAATCTGTTTATAATGATTGTTTAAAACTTAATTTATTTCTGTTTTGTTAAAGATATCTATATCTTGCACAGACCATTTGTGAGTTTTATTGACTTAAAAAAGGACAAAATCATTTCACATTGTTAAAGAGATATTTGTCGATATTAACCAGTTTTACACCAATCAGACTTTGGTTATAACGTATGACTTCACCTTCCAGTGGGGTCGCAGTGGCACGCAGACAGGCGTACTTTGGTTCAGGCTCAGGGCCAGTCTTCCGTGACGATGTCGGTTGCCATGGAGAGGAGGCGTATCTGGCTCTGTGTACGCACGATGAGACAGGACGTGAAGCATGCAGCCACAGGGAGGATGCAGGCGTCACATGCGATGTTGTTACCACAACGTATTCGTCCACAAGTAGGTCTACTCTGCATTTTCCTTCATAAGACCATATTGTACAATTTTCACTGTCCATCCACAAAACCACATTTTTTATAGTTTCTGGTTCGGTAAAGCCTTGAAGTATCTACCTAGTTTTCATGTGATTTAGTACTTTTGAGAAATTATTTTGCCATGTTCTAGAAAAAGTAGCTTAAAAATAGAAAATGTTACCATATTCACTTTTCCATATTCAATTTTCCTACTGGTCTCCATTAATGCAAAGAATATTTTGAGGTGCCTATAAATAGAAGTCATCTGCCCCAAGGCAGTATATCATTTCTTCCTTTCTGTAGCCATGGCAACTACACCTAGTACACCGTGCCCAGGTTTTGTGTGTGTTGAAGGAACGTGTATAGCAAGTTCTCGTCTATGTGACGGACATCATGACTGCCTTGGTGCCGAGGACGAGGATGACTCCAGGTGTACAACTCCAGGTGAGAAGAGATGAGAGAGAGAGTGAGAGAGAGGAAGAGAGAGAGAGAGAGGGGCAGAGAGAGAGAGAGAAGAGAGAGAGAGAGAGAGAGGAGAGAGAGAGAGAGAGAGAGAGAGAGAGGAGGAGAGAGAGAGAGAGAGAGAGAGAGAGAGAGAGAGAGAGAGAGAGAGAGAGAGAGAGAGAGAGAGAGAGAGAGAGAGAGAGAGAGAGAGAGGAGANATATTCAAAACAGATATCTCAAGGGAATATAAATACTATCATTACGTATTCCTTTTGTGTCTCAGAACTGTATAAAACACCGTCTCCATCTAGTTTGGATCGACTTTGTTTCCAGTCAAGATTCGAGTCACTTCGTTCCGTCAGTACACAGACGACAACTACTTTCCCGCCAAGATGATGAAGCTGATTCTACTTGTTACTCTTGTGGCTGCCAGGTGAGATGTGGAGAGAAAGAGAAATAAAGTGAGAGAGAGATGTGGGTTGGGGCAGAGAGAGAGAGAGAGAGAGAGAGAGAGAGAGAGAGAGAGAGAGAAAGAGAGAGAGAGGGGGGCAGAGAGAGAGAGAGAAAGAGAGAGATAGGGGGGCAGAGAGAGAGAGAGAGAGAGAGAGAGTAGGGGGGCAGAGAGAGAGAGAGAAAGAGAGAGAGAGAGAGAGAGAATTCGAGAGAGGGAATGAGAGAGAGAGATTGGGGGGCAGAGATAGAGTGAAAAAGGAGTGAGAGAATACAGAATGTATTGTCTCTGTGCAACTTCTGTCATTCAGTATACTGGTACAGCCTTACAGGTATTCATACAAATGTAAGTCATTCATAATACAAGTATTATTGTATAGGTGCATACATAACACAGTATAATACAGGTAATAAGGGGGATCAGGAGAAACTATATGTATTTATTCTCTAAAGTCACTTAAATATACCCAGTACCATACAACTGTTTTCTATATGTAGGAGTTGCAGTGCGGCTGGTGGAAGGATTGACACCACTAGAGGGCAGAGTTGAGGTGTTGTATAATAACACCTGGGGAACCATCTGTAGAGATCTGTTTGGAGAGGAAGATGCCAGGGTGATCTGTAGGATGCTGGGACATCTGTAAGTATGGCGTGTGTGTGTGTGTGTGTGTGTGTGTGTGTGTGTGTGTGTGTGTGTGTATGTGTGTGTGTGTGTTTTTAGAGAGGAGGACGCCAGAGTTATCTGTAGGATGCTGGGACATCAGTAAGTGTGCAGCATGTGTGTGTGTGTGTGTGTGTGTGTATTTGTGTGTGCGTGCAAACATGTTTTTGCTGGTGTGAGCTCGAGCATGTGAGCTTTTTAATTCAGTACTTTTAAATACGGTAGTCCAAAATACTACTGAACATTCTGTGCTGTGTTTGTTACCTGCAGTGGAGAAGTCAGGGTGCTGTCACAGAAGTATGGCGCTGGCACAGGACCTATCTGGCTGCGTAATCTGAACTGTGATGGTGACGAGGCATCCCTGGCAGAGTGTCACCATGACGGCTGGGGGAGGACGGCCGCCTGCGAACACTACGAAGACATATCTGTACAATGTTATGTTGCCAGTAAGTAGGATACTCTAGTATAGGGGGTGACTTGGTGTTTCCTTTCCTCTGAAGGACACCGGATAATTTGATGCCACTTTGTTGTTTTGTGTTTGTATGTGAAAATATTTTAAGCCAGAAGCTGCCATAAATTTTCTTTTTTTTCCTAAATTTTATGAAATACAGTAAAGTGAAACATCTCATTCGCCATGGAGATATATCTCTATTTTTGAAATGTATTTCCAGCAACTACCACAGTAACAACTCCAGAGCCAACAACACCAACAACAGCAGCAGTGACAACTCCCTTTACAACATTACTTACACTGTCAACAACACAGTCAACAACAGTGACAACAGCCATTACGACTTCTGTAGCTACGACAACACCTCCGTGTAGCGGCGTGGTTTGCCCCACGGGAGACTGCGTGCCACGTGAACATGTGTGTGACGGACACGACGACTGCTTCATTTCTAAGGCAGATGAGCAGAATTGTACAACTCCAGGTAAGGTGACCCACCCCTTTGAACAAAATACAGTAATAATAAAAATAAAATTAAGAAATAAAAAAGGCTGTCACTTCTACAATTATAAATCGACCACTAAAGAAAAAGGTATGTCCAATTAAGTTAATGTATTTAAAAAACACTCTTTGATATCAGGAAATTCTGTTGTCTGATATTTCCAATAGTGTTTCCAATCTGTTGATGACTTAACTTTTTTTGTGAAATAACAATGTGGGTATGAGTGTTTTAGTATTTACCAAGTATGTGTATTATTTCAGTGATAGCAGTGAGGTTTATGAACAGTACCATGGTAACTACAGTGCAGGATGTAGACAGATATTAATGATATATATATATATATATGTAATATTTCAGTGATAGCAGTGAGGTTAATGAACGGTACCATGGTAACAACAGTACAGGATGTAGACAGATATTAATGCTATATATATATATGTAATATTTCAGTGATAGCAGTGAGGTTAATGAACGGTACCATGGTAACAACAGTACAGGGTGCCGGCAGAGTGGAGGTCCTATATAACAATGTCTGGGGGACGGTGTGCGATGATTTCTTCTCGGAGGAAGACGCTATGGTGATCTGCAGGATGCTGGGCCACTAGTAAGATATTATTATTTTATGTGAACTTGAATATTGATATTGTACAAGAGAAGTTTTAACAGGAAATACTTGTGATGAATGCTAAAATAAGTGAGGTTTCTCCATTCTTATGTGAACTGTTTTATTTGTTTATTATTTATTTGTTTGTTTGTGTTTATTAGCTCACCTCTGTTTTCAGTGGACGGGATTCTGATAATTCAGTTGAGTTAGCGGGGTGTCTGGTCCCAATTTGATTGTGTTAAACGTACCGGGTACATACATACATACATACATTTATATATATATATATATATATATATATATATATATATATATATAATACATTTATGTTTTCCAATCTGTCTGTAGTGGTCCAGCTCGTCACATTCCTCGGCCTCATGGCTTTGGTCACGGCACAGGGAACGTCTGGCTGAGGAACGTCCGTTGTGGCGGCAGTGAGACGTCCCTGGCGCAGTGTACACTAACCTGGGGACGACACAACTGTGAGCATACTGAAGATGTGGCAATAGAGTGTACGGATGCAGGTAAGAACATCTGTAAACAGCTGCTTCAGGAAACGAAAGAATAAATTAAGCAGCCATGGAATTTTAATAATTTGCCCATAGCCCTTTCTTTTATTATATGAAGTAGTGTGGGCTTTTATATGTTGTGTTATAATTGATTTAAATGATGTAATCGATCTATTTGTTTGTATGTTTGTTTGTTTGTTTGTTAACTGCATGCCTGTGCTGAACTGTCTGCAGAAAAGTTATTATCTGATATATTTTGACTTTGTTGTTTTATAGATTATTCTTTTATTTCTCTCTGTCTTTTGTACTATCACAGTTCAAAATGATATCTTTAGTTTATTGAAGAATGCATATAAATGGGCCTTTTCATAAATGTAACAAGCAAAATGTGATGTTTGTATTTTATTTATATTACTTGTAGCACATTTTCATTTTCATTTCCTACATGTTTTCTCTATGCGTACCCCAGTATGCTCTTGCTACTCCAATTTTGTAATACAGCTTTACAGTGTTAAACAATGGTTTATCAAGCTATATTTACTTGTATTATTTATTATATATATTATATATTCATCTTTTTATTTTCTTCCTGTCAAGCTTCCACCCCTGCCTCCTCCACCACCACCATTTCCTACCCTACTCTGAGCACAACCCCTGTTACCATAGTTACCACAGCTTCCTGTGCTGGTTTCCGTTGTCATGGTGATGGTGCATGTATCCCAGCAGTCAATGTGTGTGACGGTCATAACGACTGTGTCCATGACGACAGCGACGAGCAAAACTGCACAACCCCTGGTACTTGGTTTTCTTTTTTTTTTCATTTCTGTTCTGTGTTTGATGATTTTTTATTTATTTAATTGGGATATGTCCTGTGGTTGTTTGTACCTTTTGTGCCTTTTCATATTAATTTTCTGCTTCTCATTTTTTATTTTGATTCCTCACATTATGCTTAATTAGCTTTAAGTTAAGGGGGGATATAATGTACATGTATCAGTGCTTGGCAAAATAACAGACAGCCATTTTGAAGTCACTGAAATCACTGTCTGTTAATTAGTATTTTAATCGTTGCAGCTTTTATTCCTACAACTGGTATTTATCTGTATGGGCTGGTATTTCTTCACCAAATTACCTATCAGTTATATTATACTCGAACCATTCATATTTTTTCTTGTATGTGACAATTTTTTCTACTTAAACAAGTGCTCATTTTCTGTTTTCTGTACACATATAAAATGCTGCAATCAAGTGTTATTCATTGCTTTTACCTGAACCTATTTAGGTCTACTGTACTTAAACAATGTGTGCAAATTGTTTCTGTCTGCAGACATAGAGGTCCGCTTGATGTCCAGGGAGGTCAACACCACAGCAGAAGGTCACGGTCGGGTTGAGGTCAAGTTCCGCGAGACATGGGGCACTGTATGTAATGATTTCTTCAGCGACGAGGATGCTGTGGTGATATGCAGAATGCTGGGATTTGGGTTCGTACAGGAAGTTATGTCACAGAAAGAGTATTTTTATTAAGTTTAGACTGCCACAGTTTTTGGATAGCCGGCTGTGTAAAGTAGACTTTCTAAAAATTATGAAAGGACATTTAACAGTGATTTCCTGCAGTAAATATAGTTCTTATACCTAAATAGGCTATTACCAACGGGAGTAATGGGAGTATAAATAGCCACAGTGAGCGGAAAACTTCTCATTGCTGACTTTTTCTCTTATATATATATATATATATATATATAATTTTTTAAAAGTCTTATCTTTATTCTTACATAATTTTACATATTGGGCATATGTATATTTGCTTTTCAGATCCACAGGCGTGGCTTTCCATATTCCTGGCCACAGTTATGGACCAGGCACAGGACCAATATGGCTGCGGGCTCCTATCTGTAATGGAACGGAGAGCAGTTTGATGGAATGCACACTGAAGTGGGGACAACATGACTCATGTCTACATAGTGAAGATGTGGGTCTGTCCTGTGTCAACCTGCCCACTACAGGTGAGCAATTTCTAGGGGATTCTTGGAATTATTGGCATTTGATAAATTAAATTTGATTTTACTTACTTATTTATCCTCTTTGAGTCATGTTCAGCTTCCAAGGCTTGTCAGCATCCTCACCATCTTTCGATATCTTTTGCTGCTGTGTCAGCTTCACTCAATATCTGCAACTCCAATGTTTCTCACTCAGCCTCACACTCCTTCTCTAAGTTGTTGGTGGGTGACCTCGCTTTCTCTTTCCCTCTGGTGCCCATGTCAGAGCTAATTGGAGTCGTAGCTTTTCCTCATTTTGGAGAAGTCTAAATTAGAAGGCAGTAAAATCAGTCCTAACAATGACAACATTCACTACAGCAGCAACAGTTACAACTGCAGCAAGAAGCTTTCACTGGCATTCATACATATATATCTTTATCAGGAAAAAGTCTTAATATGTTTTCATTTCAGGTTTAAGAAGTTAAAAAGTGTGCTTTATTTTACCTAAATTCAATATATGTGTTTTATTTGCATGCAATGAATGTATCATAAAAGAAACCAGTTATTTTTGTAATTATTTATAGGTATATATACTATATTTATACATCATATACTGTATATTTTTTATTTCTCACTAGGTACCTCAGTATCTCCTACACCAACAGCCACAGCCAGAACAACTGCTGCACCAACAGTAACCACCACAGCTGTACCAACATCACCCACATCCCCAGCCTGTGCTGGGTACATGTGTCAAGACAGCTCTGGGAAGTGTATTCCAGCTGAACATTACTGTGATGGTCACAATGACTGCTGGGACAATGATGACGAGGATAACTGTACAGTACCAGGTGAGGAGGGGGGGACAGCCCCAGGGGTGGACCCCAGGGGGTACACTCCTTGCTGGAACTAAGATGACTGGAAAGGACATTATATTACATTAAATCATATCACATCGCATCATGTCATATCATGTTATATTAGATTACATTAGATTATATCAAATCATTATATTACATATTTTTCCCCAGACATTCAAGTCCGTTTAATGAATTTCTCCATGGATACGTCTCATCTTGGCCAGGGTCGAGTAGAGGTCTACTACAGAGACACCTGGGGGACAGTCTGTGATGATTTCTTCCACCTGAATGATGTCATAGTATTGTGTCGTATGTTGGGGTTCAAGTGAGTATACTGGACTGTGGCGCCATCTTTCCTTTACCCAGCATTCACTTTACAAAATGGCAGACATAAATTTTGTATTTAAAAGAGAGATTTGAGTACTCCCTAGTCTCTGTAGTGTTTGGTACCTTTTCGCCTTATTGTAACCAATATTTTCAGGTACCACTTATTAAATAAGGAATTTCTTTTCTGAAAAAGGAATGCCTTTTCTCCTTCTAGAGACTCAGTTTGAGAAATAACATAAAATCTTCATGTAGTTCTAAGGTTTGGTTCAGAGTGGGCCTCTATCAAGTTTATTCAATATTTCTAACTCAGTTCCAGACTGGTCATCAACATCTTAGTCTGGTCATCATCCATTTGGCATAATTCTCTTTAAGCCAAAAGGCCATCAAAGTAATATTGAATCTTATACCTTGTGAGATATAACAATAACATTATCTGAATGTTTCCGTCTCCCAGTGGGCCATCCAGAGAAGCGCCAGATCCAGTGGAGATGTTTGGAGAAGGCAATGGCACAGTGTGGTTGAGATCATTGCGTTGTGAAGGCACTGAGTCTTCTCTAACACAATGCAGTCCAAGATGGGGCAGGCATAGCTGTGGACACCATGAAGATGTGGCTGTGATCTGCTCAGATGGTAATATCTCATATATACCTTATGAAATATATGTGGGCATATTGCATGCAGTGAAGAAGGAGGATTAAATCTGAAATAAATGCTATACATGTAGATGTGCACCAGTCTGATGTGTTAGCTAAGATCTCTAGAGTTTATAGGAAAGAGAATAAAGTATGGTGCCGACTGCATATGGACTTGTTATTTGATGGCAGCATCCAAGAACATCCTTTAAAACATTACAAATATTAACTGAAACAACAACTGGATAAATTAATGAATGTTTTTATTGCTCTGTTCAGTAGATGTGCAATATATGTAGAACACATAGAGGGTTAAGATAAAGTGATCTTCCATTTCAGCCGTGTCCACTTCTCCGGGACCAGCACCCACTGTGACACTCACTACCACCAGCGCGGGTTGTGCGGGAGTGCTGTGTGGCACGGGCAAGTGTGTGGACCCTGAACACGTGTGTGACGGACACGAAGACTGCTTTGACAGAGAGGATGAGACCAACTGTAGTATACCTGGTGAGTTCAGATACACTGTATGATTACCTAGGTAATAGATTAAGTGAGTCAAATTAATTTACGTAGGTATAGTATGTGGTTTATAACAAGAAATACCAAAAGTTGCTTTGTCTTTGTCGTATATTGCACATTTATCCTGAATTGAATTAGACCAAAAGTTCTTTTTGTGAAACTTGCCTCTTGTATAAAATGACTGACCAGTTGCTAAAAAATTACTGACCAATTGCCAGAAAATGGCTGACCAGTGGCAAGAAAATAACTGACCAGTGTCCAGAAAATGACTGACCAGTTGCCAAAAGTGACTTTGTCTTTGTCGTCTATTGCACGTTTATCCTGAATTGAATTAGACCAAATGTTTGGATAAAAGTTATTTTTGTGAAACTTGCCTCTTGTATAAAATAACTGACCAGTGGCAAGAAATGACTGACCAGTGGCCAGAAAATGACTGACCAGTTGCTACAAAATGACTGACCAGTGGCCAGAAAATTACTGACCAGTGGCTTGCAGGCCAGTCTTTTTCTTTAAGTGCTCACATTAAGTCAAGTTATAAAATTATCCATCCTTGGAAACGTCAACATCTTTCCCTTAATCACCAGCTGGAAGCCATACCTTATGAAGTTATCCAGTGGTGTTAAATCCACTGTACCAGTTCTGATTCTCTTTCCCTCTCTTTCAATCTATCTTTTGGTATAGACTATTTAATTTCACTGGTACATGTTACTGTTATAATCTTTACATTTAAGGATATGATAAATGTTGATGGTACAGAAAAACTGTTGATTTTTCAAATAAAAAAGAATGCATTTTGTGCTATATCAGTGTTTACCAAACCTTGCCTGCTTTCACTGTATTATTTCTCTGTCCCCAGAGGTCAATGTGAGGCTGATGTCCAACACCACGGTCAGTACCAGTGAGGGGCGTGGTCGCGTTGAGGTCCAGTTCCGTGGTCAGTATGGGACAATATGTGATGATTTCTTCTCCAGTGAGGATGCCACTGTGCTGTGTAGGATGGCTGGATTCAAGTAAGTCCTTGTTATTATTATTATTATTATTATTATTATTATTGTTATTATTGTCTCCTCATAGGAAAGCTAACACTGAGTTATTCATAAAGCAATATTTTAGTGTCTTACAAGACACCTTCCTTGGGGAATGTAGCTACAACGAGTTTTTATATTTGTGAATGAAAAACATTGTACCTAAAATGTGTATTTAGAGTCAAATTTTTGCCAAAAATCCAACAAGATGCCGCCATATGCTTTCAGATAATTTATTATAGAAAAAAAAACAATGTAGATCATTTCATTTTTTTTAAAGGCAGAACGAGAGATTTATTTGATTTATGGCTCGGCATGTCCACTTTATATGTAACTTTAAAACATAACTCTATCATTCCAGTGGGACAGGCACACAGCTCCCGTCTCCGCGTGACGTGGTGCCGAGAGACGTCAATTACGGCCAGGGCACAGGTCCTATCTGGCTACGGAGCCTCCACTGCCGCGGGGATGAACAGACCATACATGAGTGCTCGGCGGAGTGGGGGCGCCACTCCTCCTGTAGTCACTCAGAGGATGTAGCCATCCAGTGCTTGAACAGCTAGAGTATTAGGACACCTGTTTATTTATTTATTTATTTATTTATTTATTTATTTATTTATTTTTTTTATATTTACAGTAAAAACTTGGAAATTTAGTGTTGGCTTAAAAATTTTGTAAGAAGACGATTCTCTTCAGAAGTAATTTTTTAAACTTTGAAAATCTCGTCAAACTTGAGAATGAACCTCTTGATAATTTTGATGTTTATCACCTAATACGGCAGTGTCTGATTCCAACATTTAAAAAAAATTAATTAATTTTAAAGTGATGAAATTTTCAAATTTTTACTGAACATCCATTACCAAAAGGATATTGTTACCACGTTGTGTTAAGGAACATACAACCGTATTATGGTGGGTACAGTGTTATTGTCACAGCACAGATTATGTTTTTTTTTTCTTTTCTTTTTTCTTTTTTTGCATTTATTGAGCTTAAAACTGCCAGCTGCACTGCCCTTAGAGTCTTGTTTGTGGTGGCGGCCATTTGTATTTATCTGTATGTTGTATGGAGATCGTTGCTAGCCAACTGCATGAGTGAGCCAATGATTTATACAGTGTACATGTAATTATAATGTCACTTGCTTGGAAGACATTGGACATTTTAAGGAATTCACTTGCAGTTGATTATGATGTAGGTACAGTATACTTTCAAGGTGTAAAACATTTTACGAAACAATTAATTTGCAGTTTATTATATATCAAAATATTTTGAAAGCTGCAAGAAACCTGTTATTCATATAAGGCAGATAAAGAAAGTTTATGAAGATGTCACAATAAAGACGTGTTCATATATTGCAGTGCGTACATTGACTTTTAGAAGGTCTAGTATGAGCTATAAGTATTGTGCTCAAATTGCACGTTGATTTCCCAGGTCACAATTTCCTTATGGCATTGTTTCTGTGGTACAAAGATAAGTAGCAGAAAGAAATATTGTTAAAAAATACAGAGTGACGTGTAGGGCCACTCCTGACTTTACAGCGATTATGTTGTTCTTTAGAAGTGAACTTGGATAGATAACTTAACGCTAGCCTGTTCTTCTATTTGTTAGAATTCATGATGAGCAGGGTTAGCTGGGAGAGTGACTGAAAAAGCCGAGATGTGATTGAAAGGTGTTACATGTAGTATGATCATGTTTGTGCGGTGAGAGAGATTCACTTGGAAACTGTGGGTGGATATGATATAATGCTGAGAGTTTGGTTGTAACAAGGAGTTTGTTAAACTGTGGGTGGATATGATATAATGCTGAGAGTTTGGTTGTAACAAGGAGTTTGTTAAACTGTGGGTGGATATGATATAATGCTGAGAGTTTGGTTGTAACAAGGAGTTTGTTAAAATGCCTTGCTTGTTGGAGGCTGAGTGGGGTCACTGTATTCTTCACATAGTCAGAAAATTATATGGAAATATGTATAAAGTTAGAGCATAAAGTCTGAAGAAAGTTTGAACATTTGAGGTTAGTAACGACATACAAGTGCATGTTCCAGTAAGATGTACATTGTAGTCTGTTATAGAGTTTTTGTAACACAACTTTATTTACATTTTAATGAAATGCAGATATTGACATTTCTTTTCTTTTGAAATATGTGAATGTATAAAGTATATACATAGCTATATATATGTAGACTGTAGTATATATAGGCACAGTTATGTTAACCAAGGCTGAAGGTTTTCACGAAAAAATGAAGGTGTGTAGCAGTGAACTCTAAAACTGGGGTGCACGTGTAACATTGTTCCTGGGTCTGTTAGAAAAGTTGACGGTTATTTAATGTCAGCCTGTAAACCCAGGCGCTGCAGTATACAGTTTAAAAATAGGCACCAAACACCAAATGTTACGTAATGTAGTGACGTTTCGAATAGGACGAGACCTGTTTTGAAGACTTGATTTTTGTAACTTTTTATGACAGAAAGACTGGTTCCAATACATCTCAGCACTTCGCTTGTGGAGATCTGAAACTTGGCTTGAAAATGTTGATAAACTGTAAATGCCACCTTTTGCCGTCTTGTAATTAAAATGCGGTTCCATTATTATTATTATTATTATTATTATTATTATTTACATACCGGTGCTCAAATCGACCTCTTCAGAATGCTGCCATTTCATCACATAACACATATATGTTGTAAATGAGGAGGTATTGGACTGGAATCGGCCCAACTGCCGTCCTATGGCAGCCTGGTAACGGCCCCGTGCCATGGCAGCTGTTAGACCGATTTCGGTCCAACTAGTGGTTTTGTCTGTACTAACCTTCACGTGTTTGTTATACATTGTAAGATAGAAAATGAGCTGTAGCAGTGTATTTTCGCCTAGGAGGGGGGCGTCAGTTCTATATTAGCGTATGTTAATATACTGTATATACCCTGGTTGTGAAAGGGAGAGGGCGTTCGAATGAGAAACCATGAAATTTGGGAACGCTACGCAAGCTCTTAATTACAGCCAATGATATGACGATTAAAACTGCTCACGGGACGTAAACATATTAATGTAAAGATATTGTAGATAGATGCAGACATCGTATTGTTACGGTTTTCTGGAATTTTTGAGGAACTGAGGATTGTAAATAGTAGCAGTGGATATTAGAATCAGTAGCTGTATATAAATGGAAGAAAGAAGCTTTTGATGGTAACTTTTTGGATTACCAGTACACGCTTTGAATAAATTTAAAAGTATTAAAAACTCGTGTTTTCTGGTTAATTAACATGTTGAGTGAAAGATTGGATGACGGTAATTTTCGTTAAATTATTGTTCCAATGTTTAAAAAGGAATGAAAAATATCATAGTATCGATACAAAGATTAAAACACGGGGCTCATGGCCATATTTACAAAGTAGAAGCTTCCAGTGAATTTATGCAGTCTTGGTACAGGTATGAAAGGAGAAACTGAAATAATAAGACTATAAACAAAGCTAACTCGTATCTGATAATTATTTAACTCAAGCTGAAAACATCTCCATACCTTTAGCTTGCGCCCAAACTGGACGCTGGCTTTATCAGACTGACGCGTGTTAAGTTAATTCACAGTATATTACCACTTCATGGGATACGTATTACTACTTGATAGAAGGCGACTTCATTGGTTAAAAAATAAGGACTTTGCGATATTTATATTGCCACTTCATGGGATTTGTCAGTAAAATTGGGGCACTTATCCCATGAAGTGGTAATATACCATGAAGTATCTTAACTGGCGTGAGTTGTTACTCACTGACCGCCAGGTGGTATAGCTAAGGACAGGAAGAATATTTTCAGTTTGTGTTTGATAATTATAATATATGATCCAGCTACCAAGCTAATGAACCTTTTTGCTTATCATAAAAAAAATTGACTTCATGCACATTAAATGTTTATTTTCACAGAGATCAGTGGCAAAAACGAACAAGCTCATAAATGTATATGAAATACGCTTTATTATATTGCTGTAGAATTATACTTAGTATAAAACGTTCAAGAAAATACAACTTGTGGAACCAGCCTACAGACGTGACCTACCACTACCAGTTTTGATCGTTTATATGAAAATATTACGGATTTTCTCTACATATCGTTTGATAGCTGTGAGTAGTAAAACATATATTTGTTAACGTACGTCTTTAAGATAAAAATGCAAAAAAATAAGCAGTATGCGGATTATATCACCTCTCATTGACAAAAACTAAACTCAAAAGCGAGATCTCTGTAGCTACCTATGCCGATAACGGTGTGACTATACGTATCGCAGTTCCTAGAACGTGAACATGTTAAACAATACACCCCTGTTGACGGGCGAGAATTCAGCAGTATGTAGTAAATAATGCACTGTCCACGAGCCCGATATCACGATAGCAGGCCGAGCGCCAGCGAGGCATGCTATCGTGGATATCGGGCGAGGGGGTAAGAGTGCATTATTTGTCATACATACAAAGGGAAATCTTGCGTATTCCCCACCCAAAACCCCTAACTTTGAATAGAACACGCTGATATCACCGCGCATGGGGTGATATCAAAGAATGGACTTTCCCCGCGTTTACTGCCTAATTGCGGTCACCGTCCAATCATCTTCGTTTGCGTTAGTGGTTTTCTGAGTAGTTGGCAGATTTCCTGCCCATCTTCCGCACGTGGCAGTCACTCCGTCTCATTCATTGTATCGGTCCCTGCAATCCTTTTGTTTTGATATCAGCCCCGTGGTATGTATACTGAAGTATCTTGTATATTTCGACTCTAGCACAAAAAGTAATGTAAATACATGTAGCACCAGGGGGAACCGATGACAGGGAGCATTTTCTGACAACAATTCGCCGCTTTTACCTTAAACTAACAAGGACCTCTTCGACATTATCAAAAGACTTTGTGCTTACATACACGCGTATTTTACACAATTGGTAATAATATGATTATTATAAAAATTTAAAAATCTGAGGTAAGTTGATATTTAAACGCGAGAAAAAATTATATACTATGATGCTCGTGAAACTTGAAAAGGTTGATTTACTAGAGTGACTGGCCATGGTGTAAAATGGCTATAGGCTGAAGTATGGCTAGAAAGAAAAACTAATATTAGCACTTTTCCCGGCACAGAATTCTCATGCATCACTTATCTAAAAATACTCGATGCTAACTACCGTCACGGCATTATTCCAATATGTCGTACTTTTCCAATAGAAAATAGAATGTATATTTTTCGGGTTTGCGCGGTAATAACAAAACAAACTACGCGGTGTGGAGGGAATGCTAGTCCCAGGAATAGAATTTAAGTCTGGGATCTCATACGATTAAAAGGGTAGACCGGTAATATCCGGCTAAATACAAATGTACAAGGCGAAAGTCGCCTATATAAGTAAAGTGAAACCGTCTCTACGGTTCCTAGCAGACTGTCATTCCTTTCACACCACCATTTATATTCTTATTATCAATTAACTAATTTATTTATTAAAACCTATACTAACCAGGAAAATTTTGATGAAATTTGTTTACTGTTTCAATCTATGGCAGATCGATACTAAGTTTTGATTTGAGGCGCTGATGCACAACCTCTGTTGATCAAGACGCCTACATACCGTGAAGTTTCGTAATATTCGAACCGATTTCCAGTTCATTCAAGATTACGAACCTATTTTTCAGAACTAACGCTATTATTGTGAAAGAGACGATGCTACACGCGCGAGTAAATGATAACAAGACCGTTTTTAAAGATTAATAAAAGAAATGAGCATTTTGTAGAAAAAAGGGTCGAAATGAAATCATCGACGCTTAGAAGGAAAATAAGTGCAGTAGTGAAGCTTAACCTCCCCGTCCTTCGTGACTCCGTTATAAGGGACAGATCCCGCTGAGCTGGCGCCGCGCGTCTCGTCTTCCGTGTCCCACTGAAACCACGTCTGGCTCGCATCCATGCCCGCTACCCGCTGACAGTCCATGGGGTTCTTCTGTAAAAGGAGGAAGGGTTCTGCGGTGGGGAGAGTGACGTCATCAGACCATTTGCCGTCAGTTCTGCAGCAGAACTCGATCTGGGTGTTCGTACCGTATATACCGTCTGGAAGTTCGCCAGATCGGCTGTTTTTGTTGTTGGTGTTTTCATCGTCCCATTGGATGAATCCGACGTCGAAGTCTGCAAGAATTTTGAGAAAATGAGAGTTAATTCAGATATTTTTACACGATGGTTTCCCTATAATTATAATATTACATTCATATGCGCATAAATGAGTTGATCAATAGGACATACCTTTTTAACTTTGTTTTCATCCCTATATAAAAGAGCAAATATAGCACACACCAATTCCTTCTTAAACAAGTACCAAGGCAAAAAAAGCGCCATCTTTTATTACCAACCTTTAGGACATGATCCCTTGTACCTATAAATACAGTATTCGCCAGCGGGCCACGTGACAGGGTCACCGTCATCTGTGACATCAGACTTCATGCAGAAGGATTGCGTCATCACGCTCTTCCCAGGGTTCCCGCCTACCAGAGATGGGTACGCTAGGGACATCTTGTTGCCCGGCATGTCGTTCTCCGTATCCTGCGTCCTGAAGTAAAACGGTATGAAAATTAATGTGATTTTATTTTATGAGGGTTTCACACGAACAATAGCCTACTAGGACGCGTTATGTTAAGTACCGAAAGCATTCATTAGCTATTATAATTGCTTGTAATTGGCTTGCTATTAAATGGCTTATAATGGCCTGTAAACTGTAATGACTTGAAGGGTAAAAGTGTACGCATGTCTTTTGTTTTTACATCACTGAAAACATAAGAGCATAAAAGGAGTCACTTAAACTAAAAGTTTACCTGTGTCTGCATATATATGTTTGCGGTTGATAATAAGGACGTTTCTCTGAGAAAAAATCGTGTGTACTGGTAAGGGCAAGGAGTATGTCAAGCAGGCACAAAGGCAAGACGACCACAAGAAAAGCAGACAGAAAGACAAACAATCAGAAAAACAGACAGACAGACTTACCTTGTGCCCATACTCCAGACGGGGGACTCGCCAGGACAGCGCTGGTTGCCAAGACGGGGCAGTCCCCAGTTTCCGTGAGGCCACACCACTGAAATGTTGTCAACTTTTAATTACTGCTCATGTTCAATTTATCTATAAATCATCTTCCACTAACAACACAATATACATAATTCATTAATAAAGAGTATAGTCTAGCAGACACATCGAAGTTACTGGTATAAGTATATCATCTGAAAGTTCTCACAATAACAATACAATGTTTGATTTTTTTTCCAAAATCTTTTCGCCTATACACTGCAGTTTTTGCCTCCTCTGCCAATGTTTGCCCCCTCAAACTGAGTCCGATAGTAGATGCTAGTTTTTTTATGGTTTGGCATTATCATTTCTTCTAGATTCCAATCATATTTATATTTCAAATGACACGTCAATATATTGTTCTTCCTATCATTTTAATGTGAAGGAATAAAAGTAAAAAAAACCTATCATTTTAATGTGAAGGAATAAAAGTAAAAACAAAAACAAAACTAAAAACTTACATTCTTCCCTAGTCTTGCCAGCATTATTCAGCTTTTTAATAAGAAGACGAAGAAGCAGTCTTTTTTCCTTGTCCTTATTGGTCTTTTCACTGTCGTATTCTGACGATTCACTCTTAGAATGAGATTCTTTCCCAGATGTTTCTGCCAGTTCTAACAAGACATCTGACTCTGACTTTTTGCTCAGGTTAGCCGAAGCGCCACCTGTTGTTTCAGCTGGAGTAGGTACAGTAGTGACATCTATCGTCGAAGCAGTGTCCATAGTTACTGCCGTCTGCTCAGTAGTTTTGTCGGCCTTGTCTGTGGTAGAGGACTGGGTAGAGACTGGAGGAAGATTTGTTGAAGATGTCGAAGGGACAGTCGTGGTTGACGTTGCTGCTTCAGTCACATCAGCTTCGCTGCTCTTGCTACTTTCGGCATATTTGTTGGCGTGCGGCGAAACTTCTGTCGGTTTATCTATGCTTTTAGCGTTCGGTGCCAGTGGTGCGAGCAGACCAGCCTTCCGCCATTTTCTGACCAGCTCCATTATGGAGATGACCATGTCAAAGTCATCGGGTGGGCGTGCAGTGGATGTGAATGGAGGTGTTACTCTGGTGGTGGCGGTGGGATACGAGGTGGTTGTTGTGGACGTTGTTGTTGCTGGTGGAGCTGCTGATGACATTGTTGACGAGGTCTTTGGCTTTGTTGTTGCTGTTGTTGCTGATGATGTCGCCGTTGATGTTGTCGTGGTAGTTGTGGTAGTTGTTGTAACAGGCGGTCTGGTAGTTGTTGAAGTGGTCCGCATGGGAGTTTCCGTCGTGGCTGAATTTGAATCAGCGGTTGTTGTGGCCGCTTTTTGGTGACGGTATTTGTCCTTGTCACGGTCTGTTTGTGCCTTAAGGTTATGTAACATATCTTCGTCGGTCTCTTTGTTTTCAGTTTTAGCATCAGTATTGCCAACCCCCCTTGAAAGTGCTGAAATCAGATGTTGAGATAGTTTTCACAATGGCCTATAGAGGGCGGGAGTGTGCATACGGATATAAAAGTGTGTTGAAAAATGATACCGTAGGCATAGTAGGGCCTAATGTTTGTGTGCGATTCAAATCAGATTAGCATTTAATTCTTAAAAAATGCAAAATTAACCAAAACCATTTAAATATGGAAAACTTTCGAGTGATTGGTTTGTGATGCATTGTTTCCATACGAATCATATTTTACAGTTTGCCTATCTATTGCCTTGATATAAAAAGGCGAACCTACTCTGTAGCTCTTCTCCCGCCTACACCTCTTCCAGTTCAGCTATTATTATAATTATTATCATTAATTTTATTTTTATTTTTTATTATTATTATTATAAAGAAGCCTACCTTGTAACTCTTCTCCTGCTTGTACCTCCTCCAGTTCAGCTATTAACCTCCTCAGGAGAGCCTCCTCGCTGTCGTTTTCTAACTGGGTAAGATCTGGGAAAGAATTAGAACACTTAAAAAGTTATCACTTTTTATCAGATCTAAAGAGACATAGAGAGAACGGGAGAGAAGAAAAAAGAGAGAGAATCAATAAGATACTGGCTGAGAAAGTGACAGAGTGTGATAGGGTATAAAAGAGAGACAGAGATAGCATTTTAAATCGTTAAAATACAAACCCTAAAAAGACAACAGAAGCTATCATTTTAAATGGGATATCTTCGCCAAGGTAGTAAAACTCTCAATATTATTGATTAATTAAATTTTTGATTAATAAATAGATCACCATCAAAATCTATAATCGATTCTAAGTTAGCATATTTAGACCTATCATGAAAACTTAATCCACATCTATGTATGAGTTTGGCTGTAAACAAACAAACAAACAAACAAACAAAGGCAAACGCATCACCCCGTGGCGGTGGTGACAGAGCATATCACTTGAAAACATGATAACACAAATCTGACAACTATTTATTTATACAAAACTCATTTAGGTCTGTAAATTGACAATTTTCAAAATCAGGGGCGGATCCATAGATATTTTCTGACAGTCTTCCAAACTATCTTTGTTGATCCATCCTCCATTTTTGACCGTCTTCCGACAGAAAAAAATTGGATACCCGTCAATGTTAACTTAAAAATCTGACCGTCTTCCGGAAGACCCAGAAGACGGCCTAAATCCGCCCCTGAAAATGACAGCCGTCTCTGAGAAAAAATGTAAGAGAGCTGGGTAATTACGGTACAGTGTATCTAATCATGACAAACTCTGTAGTAATAGACATTTTTTAAGGGTTAAAATTTGAAATAAATTTCAGCGCAGTGTAACAGACTAGAACTGCGAAGAGCTACGAAAATTTAATAAAAAAATATCTGGTGAAGAGATGTCCCTCTGTGGCCCTGGCAGAGGATGGGCACCTGTGTAGGAACGCCCGCAGTCCTGTTATCATGTGTATTCATCACATTAGCTCTGCCACACTGTGACCCCCCGCTGGGAGTGCTAGTGGGGAAGATCTCGTGACCAATGAGAATTTTGTCACCAAAAACAACCGACGAAAGAACAAATATTGCCTTTTTGTCAGTGATTATATTTATGTCCAATCCTAACGACGGTTATCGTGTGAAGTAAGAGCGACAAATGATAATTGTAAGAGACACACATCAATATACTACACAGGAAGACCCCACGGAGAATATAGACGTTAATATATTGTTATACATCCGGGGACGTGAGATTAGACATCCATAACTAGCTGTATAGCATAATTTATATTTTAAAGGCATGTACACTGAATATTTACTTATATCATTTCCGCTGCTTTTTTGTTTGGTGTTTCCCTCTAAAAAATGTGCCAGACCTGATAAAGATTATTATTATTATTATTTCTGATAACTCTCTTTGTTGTGAAGACTGGCCTTAAAAAACCTACCAGGGGATACTATCTCGTTACATTGCGCATGCTTTCAAAAACATCCCCCTCACTTATTGGAAGTATCATGAGTTATGAATTTCTGTTTATTTTTATTTCAAGGAGAGGTGTGATCTAGATATGGCAGTTGGGAGTGTCTGTTGCCGCACAAGACGCATGTCACAAACTAAATCAACGCGAGCACCTTTCCTGAAGACCGGGCCAAAATGTTCAGAATCATGAATTTTTTGTGAAAACTGATAAATGAAAAATAGGCTGTCGGTGGTCAGAAGCGTGTGATAAGGGTCAAAAGCCATTTTAAATGGAAATTTCGTGTGCATAAAAACATTTTTAAGTCTGGAGTAGCGATATGATTGATCTTATCGCACGTATTTAGCATCAACATTTATTTGGCATGATAAGAGGTTATAATGACTATAAAAGACACCCACGAATCTTCACTTTTCGTCGGAAAGGTCGTATATTTAAATATTTTTGCCCTCAATTAACGCAAAATTTCGCACTTAATTGGCCAGATTCTTTGTGTGTCAACAGTAAACAGTTTGATGTGTAGAAGGTAGGCGAGCTATGGGACAACAGATTGTATCTCTGAATACAGGGATCCGATCTCCATTTTCAAATTTATGGAAATCAGTCATAATTTTAAACGCATTGATTTGATAGAGACAAAACAGGTAGATCTTTGTCCTTTTAAAGTATTTCCGTTCAATCTACATTTACAAAGGAATATTTAATAAGCGCCACCTTTCCACCCCATGGCGCATTCTCCGAACATGGGCATTTTGCAGCATATGTTGGTTCCGGTATAGCCTACTGATACTTTTGTTGAGTAGGTTGAGTAACTCTCTCTCTCTCTCTTTGTGTGTGCGTGCGTGCGTGCGTGCGTGCGTGCGTGTGTGTGTGCGCTAGCGCGTATATGTTTGTCCTGTCTTGTAAAAGAGAAAAGAGAACTTCTACCAATATTTGTGTTAAAACACTTGGTTGACATAGACACAAATGTTCGTCCCCCTAGTTACTTCCACTTGTCTACTCCCGATATTGTGTGACAGGCCAACATTCAGGTATGGGACTAATGCCTTCACCTGTACATAGTGATGACACAGGAAGGAAGGGTGGGCTGCTTACTCTGTAAAAGTGTGCCTCCTTATGTCCTCGGTTGACCCT